GCAGCAACACAAGAGACACCACAACACTACAACTGCAGCAACACAAGAGACACCACAACACATACAAGTGCAGCAACACAAGAGGGACCACAACACTGCAACTGCAGCAACACAGGAGGGACCACAACACTACAACTGCAGCAACACAAGAGGGACCACAACACTACAACTGCAGCAACACAAGAGGGACCACAACACTACAACTGCAGCAACACAAGAGACACCACAACACTACAACTGCAGCAACACAAGAGACACCACAACACTACAAGTGCAGCAACACAAGAGGGACCACAACACTGCAACTGCAGCAACACAGGAGGGACCACAACACTACAACTGCAACAACACAAGAGGGACCACAACACTGCAACTGCAGCAACACAAGAGACACCACAACACTACAACTGCAGCAACACAAGAGGGACCACAACACTGCAACTGCAGCAACACAAGAGACACCACAACACTACAACTGCAGCAACACAAGAGGGACCACAACACTACAACTGCAGCAACACAAGAGGGACCACAACACTACAAATGCAGCAACACAAGAGGGACCACAACACTATAACTGCAGCAACACAAGAGGGATCACAACACTACAACTGCAGCAACACAAGAGGGATCACAACACTACAACTGCAGCAACACAAGAGGGATCACAACACTACAATTGCAGCAACACAAGAGGGACCACAACACTACAACTGCAGCAACACAAGAGGGACCACAACACTACAACTGCAGCAACACAGGAGAGACCACAACACTACAACTGCAGCAACGCAGGAGGGACCACAACACTGCAACTGCAGCAACACAGGAGGGACCACAACACTACAACTGCAGCAACACAAGAGGGACCACAGCACGACAACTGCAGCAACACAAGAGGGACCACAGCACGACAACTGCAGCAACACAAGAGGGATCACAACACTACACAACTGCAGCAACACAAGAGGGACCACAACACTACAACTGCAGCAACACAAGAGGGACCACAACACTACAACTGCAGCAACACAAGAGGGACCACAACACTACAACTGCAGCGACACAAGAGGGACCACAACACTACAACTGCAGCAAACACAAGAGGGACCACAACACTACAACTGCAGCAACACAAGAGGGACCACAACACTACAACTGCAGCAACACAAGAGGGACCACAACACTACAACTGCAGCAACACAAGAGGGACCACAACACTACAACTGCAGCAACACAAGAGGGACCACAACACTACAACTGCAGCAACACAAGAGGGACCACAACACTACAACTGCAGCAACACAAGAGGGACCACAACACTACAACTGCAGCAACACAAGAGGGACCACAACACTACAACTGCAGCAACACAAGAGGGACCACAACACTACAACTGCAGCAACACAAGAGGGACCACAACACTACAACTGCAGCAACACAAGAGGGACCACAACACTACAACTGCAGCAACACAAGAGGGACCACAACACTACAACTGCAGCAACACAAGAGGGACCACAACACTACAACTGCAGCAACACAAGAGGGACCACAACACTACAACTGCAGCAACACAAGAGGGACCACAACACTACAACTGCAGCAACACAAGAGGGACCACAACACTACAACTGCTTCACTGAAGGAAACCATAACAGCATGTTATGTCACTGAGTGTGTTCCTTTGTTCTCACACAGTCAATAGTTGGCCGGGGTAAAAATAATCTTCCCTTGTGAACGTGCTATCTATATCAATGCGCGCACACACACACACACACACACACACACACACACACACACACACACACACACACACACACACACACACACACACACATGGGAGGAAATCCTGAACACAGTTCAGTGGGAAAGGGAACTGGAAGGAAAGTCAGTAGATGAGATGGAGACACTAAGCTGGAAAGTGCCGGAAGAACTTTGTATCAAGAAGAACAGGAAATAGCGTAGACAAACATCCCTTCGTTCAAACAAAGATGCAAAATCAACATAAGAGCTAGGGAAACTATAGTAAGCGAAGGGCAGACGATAAGAAATACGAATATACAAGGCTGAGAAGCCGAGTGACACTTCGTGAATGATATATCCTAGGCCAAGTCTGAACCAAAACAGCTTCACAGCTACAACAAGAGAAAGATTATAGTGAAATACCAAATAATTCGAGCAAGGAATAGAGGACGAGAGCTCACAGAATATTAAAAGTCCGCGAAGTCTTTAATAAACAGTTTAAGAGAGTCTTCTCACTGGAAACGGGCAACGCCAGGAAGCTAACAGCAGGAGAGAGAGAGAGAGATAAAGTACACTGACAGGTACTGGATATCACACACAAGAGGCGAAGAGGGAAAAAATCTTTAATAGAACTGGATACATCAAAGGCAGTGGAACCAGGCAAGGTTTCTTCATAGTTTCTGTGAAAGGTAGTAGAAGCCTTGTCCTAACCAAGTGCTAGGATCTACAGTACGTCAGTAGATCCTGAACAGTTGTCAGAGACCTGGAAGACAGCGAATGTAGTCCCTATATTTAAGAAAGGAGACAGACAGGAAGCGTTGAACTACAAGGCAGTTTCACAGACATATACCATGCAGGGCAACGGAGAATATAGTCAAAAAGGAGAATGGTAGAGCATTTGAAAAGAGTGGTTCCATAATCAATGACCGGCAAGGGTTCGGAGATAGTAAATCTTGTCTTACTAACCTGTTGGAATTTTATGACAAAGAAACTGACATGAGACAGGAGATAGGGTTGAATGGACAGCATTTTATTAGACAGCAAGAAAATACTTTGATACTGTTTCCCACAAGAGACGGGCTAAAAAATATGAGAAGCAGGAAGGAATAATGAGTAAAGTACTCCGGCAGATGAAGGAGTACCTCAGGGGACGAAAGCAAACTGTCCGAGATGAGATGCCAGAATGTGGAAAAGTAACCAGTACTGTTTATGGTTTGTGTGAACGACGGACCAGATGGGATCGAGTCAGCTGTTTCTCTGTCCACCTTTGATGTAAAACAAGTGAGAATAAAAAGAGATGAGAAGGGAAAAGGTTGCAAATAAATTTGGACGAACTTTAGAATTGATCAGACAAGTGGTTGACTGAATGCAACAACAAATGAAGATTGATGAAGGGACCAGAAGAACGGGAATGGAATACAGACTCGAGTGACAGGCGGTAGACCTTAAAGAGAAAGACCTCAGAGTGAGCATAGTGCCTAGCATATCGCTAGAGGCTCATATCAACTAAATCTCTATAGTCAATGCTCACTTGACAAATCTAAGAGGGGCTTTCGGGGATCTCAGTCATTAAGGGTCTTTTATGCAACATATGTCAAACCTATTTTGGAGTAATGCAGCGTCGGTATGGAATCCACCCCTGAGAAAACATGTTAAGAAACTAGAGAAAGTGTAGAGGAATGCATAGAGACTAGTTTGTGAAGTGAAGGGTATGAGGAACGAAGAAAGGCTAACGGACAGACTAGCAGAGACATGATGACAAACAAAATACTCAGGAACTGATAGGGCAGACAGAGACGGTGCTCGAGAGGCGGGAAACAGGTACTCGGCGGCACAACTGGACGTTAAACATACAGAGGAGTCACAGGGATGACAGTAGTCAAAAGTGAGATGACCTCTAAAAAGTGGTGGTGGCAGACTCCACAAGCAGTTTGAAGAGTAGGTAAGATAGGGCCCAAGAGATTAGGAGGGAGTAAATTAGGTAAGCGGCAAGTTGAGAGGTGGGACCAGGAGCTAGGACTACCTCTGCAACCACATAAAGGTACGTACATATAGGTGAATACACACGTGCAAGATAAGATTTCGTTCGGATTTTTAACCCCGGAGGGTTAGCCACCCAGGATAACCCAAGAAAGTCAGTGCAAGAATGGACACACGTTCAAGTATGGATATACATGCAAGGATACAGAGAGAGAGAGAGAGAGAGAGAGAGAGAGAGAGAGAGAGAGAGAGAGAGAGAGAGAGAGAGAGAGAGAGAGACTGAACTGAATGAAAAAAGGACAAATATAGGAGAAAACCCAAGAAAAAGCCATTGTAAGGAAAGTTAAACTGAGGAGGTAGCATTTAGATTTGATAATAAACAGCCAAAGAAAGGAACAGAATGAATGATAAATTGGATAAATACCTAAACTTACAATACAAGAAATAAGAGAAAGGGAACTAAAACACTAAACTAGGGAGAAGGATGTTTGCAGGAGAAAAACCACCAAAGACGGCAGAGAAAATGTGAAAAATCGAGAGTTGCAGAGAATGAGAGGGAAGAGAAAAAAAGGGGAAAACATCCTTAGGACTGAATCTTCTCTGGTACTCGACTACAACACTGTATTCTGACTGCAAGTACACACACACACACACACGTACACACACGTACACACACGTACACACACACACACACACAGGGACAAGGGTTCACAACTGGAAGCTGAAGACTCAGACGAGTCACAGGGACGTTAGGAAGTATTTCTTCAGTCATAGAGTTGTCAGCAAGTGGAATAGCCTAGCAAGTGAAGTAGTGGAGGCAGGAACCATACATAGTTTTAAGAAGAGGTATGACAAAGCTCATGAAGCAGAGAGAGAGAGGATCCAGTAGCGATCAGTGAAGAGGCGGGGCCAGGAGCTGAGTCTCGACCCCTGCAACCACAATTAGGTGAGTACACACACACACACACACACACACACACACACGACACACACGTACACACACACACACACACACACACACACACACACGTACACACACACCACACACACACACACACACACACACACACGTACACACACACACACACACACACACACACACACACACACACACACGTACACACACACCACACACACACACACACACACACACACACGTACACACACACACACACACACACACACACACACGTACACACACACACACACACACACACACACACACACACACACACACACACACACACACACCACACACACACACACAAACTCACCTTTATGCCAGAAGCGCTGGGGTGAAGACGTCCTTTTAGCAGAGAAGGATGATCCTGTAGGATATATTAACGTTAACTTTAACACCTTTGGAAAGTAAATAATAATAAAAATATTACAGCTGCTACTACTAATAATAATGCCAATACTACTACTACTACTACTAATAATAATAATAATAATAATACCACTACTACTACTACCACTACTACCACTACTACCACTGCTACTACTACCACTACTACTACCACTACTACTACTACTACCACTACTACTACCACTACTACTACTACCACTACTACTACTACCACTACTACTACTACCACTACTACTACTACCACTACTACTACTACTACCACTACTACTACCACTACTACCACTACTACTACTACCACTACTACTACTACCACTACTACTACTACCACTACTACTACTACCACTACTACTACTACCACTACTACTACTACCACTACTACTACTACCATTAATCGTAGGTAAGTTTGCACTGTTACTGTGATTCTGAACGTCCCGTGTGGTAACCGAAGAACTTCTCTTCTGATCGGCTTCAAACCCTCTTCGCTGGTGTATCTTACATAAATGATGGTTGGGACTAATTCTGGGCCGTACAGGCGCTAGTTCTGGGTCGTACAGGCGCTAGTTCTGGGCCGTACAGGCGCTAGTTCTGGGCCGTACAGGCGCTAAACTCTCAACTTCACGGAAGACTTGGTAAAAATATGATTTACGTATTGGTTTCCATGTGATAACCTGTAAATCCCTCCCTCCCTGTCTGCCCTCCTCCCTCCCTGCCTGCCCTCCTTCCTCAGTCCTTGCCTGCCCTCCTCCCTCCCTGCCTGCCCTCCTCCCTCCCTCCCTGCCTGCCCTCCTCCCTCCCTGCCTGCCCTCCTTCCTCAGTCCTTGCCTGCCCTCCTCCCTCCCTCCCTGCCTGCCCTCCTCCTCCCTGCCTGCCTCCCTCCCTCCCCCCTCTCTCCCTCCATCCCTGCCTGTCTCCCTCCCTGCTTGCCTCCCTCCTTCCCTGCCTTCCTCCCTCCCTCCCTGCCTTCCTCCCTCCCTCCCTCACAGCCAGCCAGCCTCCCTCCCTGTCTCTCTCCCTGCCTGCCTATCTCCCTTCCACCCAGCCTCCTTCCCTCCCTTAACCCCTCCCTCCCTGTGTGTCAATCTACACCTTTGTGTGTGTGTGTGTGTGTGTACGTACAAGTTTCATGTACACCATCTGAGGGCTGGGGGACAGAGCCATCAAGTCACAGGTGGCGAGGCAGGTCAACAGCTGGTCTGGGGCCTGGCTTCCTGATATTACTACACGGCTCCACCTGACTCACCCTCTTATCCATATTACTGCTTCACTTATATTATACTGACTCACCTCACTCACTGACTCATGTCACACTTAGGTCACTCACTAAGGATCATTCACTAAGGCCACTACGGTCACTCACTAAGGATCATTCACTAAGGTCACTCACTAAGGATCATTCACTAAAGTCACTCACTAAGGATCATTCACTAAGGCCACTAAGGTCACTCACTAAGGATCATTCACTAAGGTCACTCACTAAGGATCATTCACTAAAGTCACTCACTAAGGATCATTCACTAAGGCCACTAAGGTCACTCACTAAGGATCATTCACTAAGGTCACTCACTAAGGATCATTCACTAAGGTCACTCACTAAGGATCACTCACTAAAGTCACTCACTAAGGATCATGCACTAAGGCCACTAAGATCACTCACTAAGGTCACTAAGGATCATTCACCAAGGTCACTCACTAAGGATCATTCACTAAGGTCACTCACTAAGGATCATTCACTAAGGTCACTCACTAAGGATCACTCACTAAGGATCATGCACTAACGCCACTAAGGTCACTCACTAAGGATCATTCACTAAGGTCACTCACTAAGGATCATTCACTAAGGTCACTCACTAAGGATCATTCACTAAGGATCATTCACTAAGGTCACTAATGTCACTCACTAAGGTCACTAATGTCACTCACTAAGGATCATGCACTAAGGTCACTCACTAAGGATCATTCACTAAGGCCACTAAGGTCACTCATTAAGGATCATTCACTAAGGTCACGAAGGATCATTCACTAAGGCCACTAAGGTCACTCACTGAGGATCATTCACTAAGGTCACTCACTAATGATCATTCACTAAGGTCATTCACTAAGGCCACTAAGGTCACTCACTAAGGATCATTCACTTAGGTCACTCACTAAGGATCATTCACTAAGGCCACTAACGTCACTCACTAAGGATCATTCACTAAGGTCACTCACTAAGGACATTCACTAAGGCCACTAAGGTCACTCACTAAGGATCATTCACTAAGGTCACTCACTAAGGATCATTCACTAAGGTCACTCACTAAGGATCATTCACTAAGGTCACTCATAAGAACATAAGAAAGGAGGAACACTGCAGCAGGCCTGTTGGCCCATACTAGGCAGGTCCTTTACAAATCATCCCAATAACAAACATTTGACCAACCCAATTTTCAATGCCACCCAAGAAACAAGCTCCGATGTGCAAGTCGCTCTCAAATCCAACCCCTCCCACTCATGTACTTATCCAACCTAAATTTGAAACTACCCAAAGTCCTAGCCTCAATAACCCAACTAGGTAGACTGTTCCACTCATCAACTACCCTATTTCCAAACCAATACTTTCCTATGTCCTTTCTAAATCTAAACTTATCTAATTTAAAATCCATTACTGCGGGTTTCTCTCTTGGAGAGATATCCTCAAGACCTTGTTAATATCCCCTTTATTAATACCTATCTTCCACTTATACACTTCGATCAGGTCTCCCCTCATTCTTCGTCTAACAAGCGAATGTAACTTAAGAGTCTTCAATCTTTCTTCATAAGGAAGATTTCTGATGCTATGTATTAATTTAGTCATCCTACGCTGAATGTTTTCTAACGAATTTATGTCCATTCTGTAATATGGAGACCAGAATTGAGCTGCATAATCTAGGTGAGGCCTTACTAATGATGTATAAAGCTGCAGTATGACCTCTGGACTTCTGTTGCTTACACTTCTTGATATAAATCCCAATAATCTATTTGCCTTATTACGAACGCTTAGGCATTGCTGTCTTGGTTTAAGGTTGCTGCTTACCATAACCCCCAAGTCCTTTTCGCAATTTGTATGGCTAAGTTCTACATTATTTAACTTATAAGTGCTAGGGTTATGGACACTCCCGAGCTTCAGAACCTTGCATTTATCTACATTGTACTGCATCTGCCACTTTTCTGACCAAGAGTAGAGTTTGTCTAAATCCTCCTGAAGTTCCCTAACATCTACGTTTGAATCAATTATCCTACCTATCTTCGTGTCATCGGCGAATTTGCTCATATCACTAGTAATTCCTTCATCAAGATCATTGATATATATATTATAAACAACAACGGGCCCAAGACTGATCCCTGTGGAACGCCACTTGTTACTGATCCCCACTCGGATTTAACCCCATTTATGGACACTGCTTCCTGTCTGTGAGCCATGATTCGATCCAGGAGAGCACCCTTCCCCCAATGCCATGAGCTGCTACTTTCTTCAACAGTCTTTGGTGCGGAACTCTATCAAATGCCTTACTAAAATCTAAGTAAACAATATCAAATTCTTTATCGTGGTCAACAGCCTCAAAAGCTTTAGTGAATAAGGTTAATAAATTAGTTAGACAAGACCGGCCTCTTGTGAATCCATGCTGAGTATCATTAATCAAGCTATGCTTATCGAGATGGCTTCTTATAATCTCAGCTATAATTGACTCTAGTAATTTGCCTACAATTGAGATCAGGCTTATTGGGCGGTAATTTGACGGTAACGACTTGTCCCCTGTTTTAAAAATAGGAATTACATTAGCCATCTTCCACATATCAGACACTACACCTGTTTGAAGAGATAAATTAAAAATATTAGTTAATGGTTCACAGACTTCCATTTTGCATTCCTTTAGAACCCTTGAAAAACCTCATCAGGACCCGGTGACTTATTTTGCTTCAGTCGGTCTATCTGCTTCACAACCATTTCACTAGTGACTGTGATGTTACATAATTTAACTTCTTCTGGCCCACTATAAAAATTAATTACTGGAATATTATTAGTGTCTTCCTGTGTAAAAACCGAGAGAAAATAATTATTTAAAATCGAGCACATTTCATTCTCTTTGTCAGTAAGATGCCCATAGTTATTTTTAAGGGGACCTATCTTATCTCTGACTTTTGTTCTATATACCTGGAAAAAACTTTTTGGGTTAGTTTTAGAATCCCTAGCAACTTTAATTTCATAGTCCCTTTTAGCTTTTCTTATCCCCTTTTTAATGTCCCTCTTAATGTCAATATACTGATTCATAAGATGACCCTCGCCTCTTTTGATACGCCTATAAATTCCTTTCTTATGCCCTAGTAGATATTTCAGCCTATTATTCATCCATTTTGAGTCATTTCTATTTGATCTAATTTCTTTATAAGGGATAAACGTTCTTTGAGCAGCATGTATTGTGTTCAGAAAACTGTCATATTGATAGCTCTCTTCGTTACCCCAGTCAACAGATGATAAGTGTTCTCTAAGCCCATCGTAATCTGCTAAGCGAAAATCTGGGACTGTTACTGAGTTATCCCTACTATCATACTTCCATTCAATTCTAAATGTTATTGATTTGTGGTCGCTAGCACCCAGTTCCTCTGAAACTTCTAAATTATTAACAAGGGATTCATTGTTTGCCATAACTAAGTCAAGCAGGTTATTACCCCTTGTAGGTTCTGTCACAAACTGCTTCAAAAAACAATCCTGAACTACTTCTAAGAAGTCGTATGATTCTAAATTCCCAGTCAAGAAATTCCAATCAATATGACTAAAGTTAAAGTCTCCTAGAATTACTACATTATCGTGCCTTGTGGCCCTAACAATTTCCTCCCATAGTAGTCTCCCCTGGTCCCTATCTAAATTTGGGGGACGGTATATCACACCTAAAATTAACTTTCATGCCCTCTGAAAATTCTATCCAAACAGACTCTGTATGTGTTACTTCAGACTAATAACCCGTTTTTATGCAACAGTTCAAGCGATCTCGGACATACAGTGCCAACCCCACCCCCCTTCCCGATACTTCTATCTACTTGGAACAATTTTAAAACCCTGAATGTGACATTCTGCAGGCATGTCCCGACTTTTTGAATTAAACCACGTCTAAGTAATGGCAAATACATCTATGTTACCTGCACTAGCAACTAGTCTCAACTCGTCCATCTTATTCCTAGCACTGCGACTATTTGTGTAATAAATACTTAAAGACCCTCCTCTCTCTTTACCCTTCCTGCTCCTTTCTGTTTATTCCACTAAACCTATTACTGTCCTTGTCAATTAGTGCCACTGGCTTTCCAATATCCACCTTATTTTGCCTATTACTAGTTCTAGTACTCATATTACTACCCTGAGACTTCACAGTTTTCCCGCCAAAACCCATACCACTATTCCTAGTTTAAAGACCTAACAGCTCCCTCCACTGCGTTGGCCAGTGCTCCCACCCCACACCTAGATAAGTGAACCCCATCCCTGGCATACATGTCATTTCTGCCATAGAAGAGGTCCCAGTTGTCAATGAATGTTACTGCATTTTCCTTACAGTATTTGTCCAGCCAGCAATTGACACCAATTGCTCTGGACAACCATTCATTTCCAACTCCTCTCCTTGGCAAAATGCCACATATGACAGGTTTCCCACCCTTCCTTCTAATTATCTCTATTGCTGACCTATACCTGCTAATCAGCTCCTCACTCCTACGTCTGCCAACATCGTTGCCTCCAGCACTGAGACAGATAATAGGATTGCTCCCATTACCTCTCATGATGTCATCCAGACGGCTAACAATATCCTTCATCCCAGCCCCAGGAAAACACACTCTCTGCCTCCTACTCCTATCCTTCAAGCAGAATGCCCTATCCATGTACCTAATCTGGCTATCCCCAACAACAACAATGTTTTTACCTTCCTTGGCGTCGTCCGTCGTGATGCTCCGCGTAGTCGACTCACATTCGCCAGGTAGCATTACAACACTTGTAGAATTCGTCAAGACGTTCTCGATGGTCTTCGTTGGGGTTTCTAGGGATGTCTCACTCACGTCTGCCAATGCTTCTTTTGTGCTCGTTGTGGCATTCCCAGTAGAACACTCACATTCGTCAGGTAGCACCGAGAATGGGTTGGAAGTTTCCACGGTAGTCTTCTGGTTTCTCGTTGTTTCTGCCTCTCCAAACCGTTTTTCTTGATCTTCAGCTTGGTTCCATGTTGCCCGGCCACTGACCAAGCTCCCCTCTTAACCTGGGGACTCAACAACAGAAGGATTACTACGAATCCTCTTGTTCTCCTCCGTTAATCGCCGTATCTCCATCTTAGCAACTCTGAGCTCTTCTCTCAGCTGCTGGTAAAGTTGCTCAAGAGAGGGCATCCTGGTTCAGATTCACAGAGAGCACACAAACAGGTCTTCACAGAGCTAAGTACACGTCACCACGGAGCTAAGTACACGTCACCACTCAAAGCTAAGTACATGTCATCACTGAGCTAAGTACACGTCACCACTGAAACAATTTGTAGATGAATGGTTCAGAGAACCGACATGTTGATAAATTAGACACATGTGCAACTCTTGGGTATCTTTATTGAGGAAACGTTTCGCCACACAGTGGCTTCATCAGTCCATACAAAGGAGAATCTTGAAGAACAGGAGGAGAATGAGGTAATCAGTCCACTCACTAAGGATCATTCACTAAGGTCACTCACTAAGGATCATTCACTAAGGTCACTCACTAAGGATCATGTTCACTAAGGTCACTCACTAAGGATTATTCCTAAGGTCACCCACTAAGGATCATTCACTAAGGTCATCACTAAGGATCATTCACTAAAGGTCATCACTAAGGTTTCATTCACTAAGTCCACTCACCTAAGGTCATTACTAAGTCCTTTTTAAACTAAGTCAATCACTAAAACGATACACATAAAGTCACTGTAAAATAACTTTCACTAAGGTCACCCACTGGATATTACACTAAGTCCAACCACTGGGTATTCCCCAAAGGGATATTATAAGAAATCACTGGGAAATAATCAAAAGCCACACTGGAATTTTGCACTGGGTATATGCACTAAGGTCACCACTAGGATTTTAAAAGGCACTCATAAATCAATAAACTGGAAAAATTCCAAAGGGTTATGACCAAACACTTAATATACCAACCTGATAAAATCCACGGGGAAATTACTGAAAATTCCAAGTTTAATATAAAAAGGGATATTGAAATCCCTATAATTCCAAACCTTGATAATAAGCCAACACTGGGATAATATAGCCAACACTGGGATAATAAGCCAACACTGGGATAATATAGCCAACACTGGGATATAGACAAATTTGGGATAATATAGACAAACACGGATAATATAGCAACACTGGATAATTAGACAACCCTGGATAAATAGCCACCGGTAATTAGCAACATGGGATAATATAGCCAACACTGGAAATATAGCCAACCACGGGATAATATAGCCAACAGGGATAATAGCAACATTGGGATAATATAGCCAACACCGGGTTTTTAATATACCAACACTGGGATAATATAGCCAACACCGGGATAATATAGCCAACCCGGGGATAATATAGCCAACACTGGGATAATAAAACCCCAACACCGGGATATATAGCCAACACGGGATAATAAAATCCAACATGGGATAATAAGCCAACAGGATAATATAGCCAACCCGGATAATATAGCCAACACGGGATAATATAGCCAACACCGGGATAATATAGCCAACACTGGGATAATTAGCCACCCGGATAATATACCCAACACCGGGATAATAAGCCAACCGGGATAATAAGCCAACCCGGATAAATAGCCAACACTGGATAATATAGACAACACTGGGATAATATAGCAAACACCGGATAATATAGCACACGGGATAATGTGGGCAACACTGGGATAATATAGCCAAACCCGGAAAAATATAGCCAACACTGGGAATAATATAGCCAACACTGGAAATATAAGCCAACACCGGGATAAATAGCCAACCCCGGGGAAAAATATAGCCAACCTGGATAATATAGCCAACACTGGGATAATATAGCCAACACTGGGAAAATATAGCCAACCCCGAGATAATATAGCCAACCCCGGGGATAATATAGCCAACACGGGATAATATAGCCAACGCTGGATAATATAGCCAACCCCGGGATAATATAGCCAACACCGGATAATTAACCAACACTGGGATAATAAAGCCAACATTGGATAATAAATGCCAACACCGGATAATATAGCCAAACTGGGATAATATAGCCAACACCGGGATAATATAGCAACACTGGGATAATATAGCCAACACCGGGATAATATAGCCAACACCGGGATAATATAGCCAACACCGGGATAATATAGCCAACACCGGGATAATATAGCCAACACTGGGATAATATAGCCAACACTGGGATAACATAGCCAACACCGGGATAATATAGCCAATACCGGGATAATATAGCCAACACCGGGATAATATAGCCAAAACCGGGATAATATAGCCAACACTGGGATAATATAGCCAACACTGGGATAAATATACCCAAACACTGGGATAATAAGCCAACACTGGGATAATATATAGCCAACACTGGGATAATATAGCCAACACTGGGATAATATAGCCAATACCGGGATAATATAGCCAACACTGAGATAATATAGACAACACTGGGATAATATAGACAACACCGGGATAATATAGACAACACTGGGATAATATAGCCAACACTGGGATAATGTAGACAACACTGGGATAATGTAGACAACACTGGGATAATATAGCCAACACCAGGATAATATAGCCAACACCGGGATAATATAGACAACACTGGGATAATATAGACAACACCGGGATAATATAGACAACACTGGGATAATATAGCCGACACTGGGATAATATAACCAACACTGGGATAATATAGCCAACACCGGGATAATATAGCCAACACTGATAAAGTCAATAAATGGAGAACTTACCGATATTCGGTACGACGTCGGGATTACCAGCGTCGTCGGCCGACGCCAGGCGGGCGGCGTCCTTACGCTTAGCATGGCAGCCCCCCGCGGAGTGCAGCCCCCCCCAGCCACCAGCGCCACAGACTCACCGCCGCCACGCCCATCCTGCCCCGATACCCCCCAAACAGTGCTAGTGCCGCCCCCGCGCCGCCGCCCCCCCAGCACCCTTCCATCGCCGCCGCCGTGACCCCACTGAGCCGGTGGGGTCGAGGACGACGCTAGTGGCGGTGGGACCGCTGGACCGCCCCCCTCGTTTCCCTCAGGTGCCGCCTTGGCCTTTTCCCCTCTTCCCCTCCTTTGCTTCTCCCCTAAAGAAAAAGTGCATTTCGGGGATTGTTCATTTATAGGTCCCCCCTGTGTGGTTGGGGGTTGGTGTGGTTGTGTGTGTGTGTGTGTGTGTGTTTTGGGGTGTATGTGTGTGGCATGTGTGTGGTGTATGTTTGTGTGTGTAGTTGTGGTGTGTGTGTGGTGTGTATGTTGTGTGTGTGTGTGTGTGTGTGTGTGTTGTGTGTGTGTGGTGTGTTGATGTATTTTTGTGTGCAGGGGTGTGGTGTATGGTGTATGTGTGTGTGTATGTTGTGTTTTGTGTGGTGTGGTTTTTGGGGGTGTGTGTGTGGGATGTGTGTGGTTGTGTGTATGTTTTGTGTTGTGTTTGTGTGTGTGTGTGGTTGTGTGTGTGGTGGGGTATGTGTTGGGGGTTTTGTGTGTGGTTGTGGGGTGTGCGTGGTTGTGTTGGGTGTGGTATGGTGTGTGGTGTGTTGTGTTTGTGTGTGTGTGTTGTGTGTGGGCGTTGTGTATTGTGGTGTGTGTGTTGTGTGTGTGTGTGTGTGTGTATCAAGTGTGTTATGTGTGTGTTGTGTGTGTATGTGTGTGTGTGTGTGTGTGGTTGTGTATGTGTGTGTGTTTTTGTGTGGTGTGTGTGTGTGTTTTTGTTGTGGAGTTGTGGTTGTGGTGTGTGTGTGTATGTGCATGGGTTTGGGGTAGTTGTATGTGTGTGGTATGTGTGTGTGTGTGTGTGTGTGTTGGGGGTGTTTGGGTGTGTGTGTGGTGTATGGTGTGTGTATGTGTTATGTGGGTGTATGTGTGGGTGTGTGGGTGTGGTGTGTGTGTGTGTGTGGTGCGTGCGTGATGTGTGTGTGTTGGGGTGTGTGTGTGGTGTGTTGTGTGTGTGTGTTTGTGTTTCTGTGTGTATGTGTGGTGTTGTGTGTGTGTTTGTGTGTGTATGCTGGTGGTTAGTGTGTGTATGTGTGTTTTGTGTGTTGTGTGTGTGGTTTGGGGGTGGTGTGTGTGTATGTGTGTGTGGTGTTTTGGTGTTGGTGTGTGTGTTGCTTTTGGGTGTGTGTGCGTGTGTGTATGGTGTGGTGTTGTGGTGTGTGTGTGTGTGTGTGTGTGTGTGTGTGTGCGTGGTTTTGTTGTTGTGTGTGTGGTGGTGTGTGTGTATGCATGTGTGTGTATGTGTGTGTATGGTGTGTATGTGTGTGTGTGTGTGTGTGTGTGTGTGTGGTGTGTGTTGTGTGTGTGTGTGTGTGTGTGTGTGTGTGTGGTGTGTGTGTGGGGTGTGTGTGGGGTGTGTGCTGCGTGTGTCAGCATAGTTGTGATCCCTGTATTCCCGTATTATATAGCATAGCAGTAGCATCATCCATGTGCTTTAGACACGAGACCCCTCGTAGGCCTGTGGCTTTGTGTGACGTCATAGGGATACACATGGGCAGTGATCCCTCTGTCCCGCTCTCACTCGGCGGCAGACCTACAAGGCGTGAACAGGTAGGCACCGGGCTCCATCTCTCATCTCAGTCTGACAATACACCTACCATCCTAAAAGGGTGTGTCTACCTTATCCTACGATATCTCCATTCAAGAACCCCTTGCGATAAATGGTGGCAGCGGTGAGCCTGTAATTCTGACGATTACAGCGATTTCTGGAGATAAAATTGTCGCCCAGCAAGCGGCCATTTGTGTCACCAGTAGGCCTACCGAGGTTCACCCCATCCAGCTACCTCAAGCCAGCTACTCTACTAGTTCTACATTATTCACTGGTCAGTCTCTTTGTATTAGTGTTTCCTGCTTTTTTGCATTACTCCGAGGGGTTGACCCGGGGATTTTGCAAAATAACCCAGCTTCCAGTCGTGGTGGGGGAGTCAGAACACCCGAGTCCAGTCCAGCCTAGCCTACCCCCATCCAATTATTTTGTCTGCCAAGCCAGCTTCCACCCTGCTGTGCTCATCGTGTGAAGTTATCAAGCTATTCTGTGTGAAGGGTTAAGATACCCAGCTAGAAACTAACCCAGGTGTCTTACCCAGTACTCAAGCAAGCCACATGAGTAGCCTTCATCTCTTGTTATTCAAGTTCCAAGCATTCTGGTGGCTCCTGGTATCCTTGTGGTGTTGTAGTATTTCGTGGGTTTTTTCTAAGCCAGGCCGGCTTAGAAAAATTCTTCGCGGCCAGTGTGGGTTTTCTCAGTGGGGTTACGACTTTTCAACCCATAAGCCCAGCCTCACGATCACGTGTGTCCCCATTTGCCGGTCTCAGACGCCCGCTCAGCCATTCCCCACAAACCCAACTACAGTCGGCCATTACAAACTCACCTACCTCATCAGTGTTTTGGGCATTTGCCTAAGGGTTGTAGCACCATATTTTAAGGCCACATAGGGGGGTCAAGAGCTAGAGAGTGGCGCGCCATCTTTAAAAGCCTCCTGTGTGTTGTCTCTCGCCGATTTAAGCGCAATTCTACGATAATCTGTGCAGAGGACAGCAGCCAAGACGATATAAACAATATCAATCTCTTTTTTTTTTCAAGTGTTACAGCTAAAATATTTTTTTTTTAGGACATTTGCGAGTGTTGAGACATTTCTTTTGTGTTCCCAGTGAATTTTTCTTTAGTGACATTCAGTGACTCTTGATCAGACTCAGTGTTTATCATGTACTGATTGCATAAAATTTCTTTTATTCCCTTAATTTCAGTGTTAATTTTCGTGCATTTTTTTTATATCTGTTGTGTTGTGTATCTTTTTATTACACTTAAAAGTAAGTCTGAGTGTTTTTCCTTTGTTGTGTGTGCAACATTGAGCAATATAGAACTTGTGTTTAAACTTCAGAATTCCAGTGAATTAACTCAGTAAATTTTCACCTCATTTTCTGCATCCAAACTCAGTGTTGTCTGTTATTTTTTTTTTCTTCCCAGATTTGTGTAATTCTATTTTGTTCCCTGTGTGTTGAACATTTTTGTGTTCATATTCCTTTATTCAGCCAGTGTTTAATTTGTCTTATTTCCACAGACAATAGTGCCATTTTTTAAGTCCGCAAGAGCTCACATTTACAAAATTTTTCACACATCAAGTTTATTGAAGAAAATTTCTGTACTGTGTTTATGTTGATTTTTTGTGTTCTGCATCACTGTAAGTGTTGTATTCCTTTTTGTTGTGTGTTTTTTGCACCTATTATTTTTTTTTTCATATTTTATTGAACAAATTAAATCTTGTGCAATTTTTAAGTTCTCCTTTTAAAGTAAATTGTTCTTTTGCTTGTTGTTTAAGTGCAGTTAAGAGTTAAAGTGTTCTTCCTTGATATATTTCTTTTCTTGTTGTGTTATAATTTTTATTATTGCACATAGACTCATTTTGCAATAATTCTTGTGCAAATATTGTGTTGCTTTTTAAAGTTTTTTTTGGGCAGACAATTTTATGCAGTGTTGTGCAATACAGTTTATTACAGTGCAGTTTTTATGTTTGTTCTGTGCATAGTATTTTATTCTGTCTGTGTCATTTTATTTTTTTAATTTCAGTGAATTGTGTGTTTGTTTTAATTTTTGCACAAGTTTATTGAGTCCATTTTTATTTTTTGTGTATTTTCCTTGTTGCATTGAAAGTAAAGAAAAAATCACTGTGCCATTTATTAAATTTTAAAGAAAAAGTTGAGCATATTAGATTTGAGCAAAAGTACAAGTTTCTTGATTTTCAGTGTTGTTAAGTTGCATATTATTCTTTTTGTGAGTTCTTTGCTTACTGTGTAACTTGTCAATTTTTAATTACTTATCCCAGAATTTAGTTAAGCATTTTCTTCCATTTAAGTTCCTGTGTTGTGTGTTCCTCAGTTATCATTTTCTCTGTTCTCTAAAATTCTAGTTTTTACATTTTGCAAACATGTCTCAAGTTTTCTCTAGCGATGCTCAGCACTTGCTGCTAGTACAACCATTAATGTGTCAGCCCAAATTCGAGTAACTCCGTATCAAACGATGGGACATACTCAGACTTCTGGCCTGCGTAACTTACTCGTGACCCGTATGATGCTATGCCATTATTCAATGGTGACCCAGACAACCTTGAAGGTTGGTTTACTGCAGTTAGAGCCAGAGCTGAGCTTCAGTTGATGGTCCCCATCTGAGAGTCTTTTAATAAGTATCGGAAAGGGAGAGTCTAGCCCGTTCTTCAGCTGCCTCAAATGTATTTAAATTAATTCGTATGAAGGACTTCCAAGATCTGACCAGGTGGCAAGATTATGAACAGTTAATTCGCAATTATCTTGAACCCAGTGCGAGAAACCGACCCGTTCGTTGTTTCAAAGAATTAGTTTGCACAGCCCGAGCCCAGAAGAGTATTAGAGGGTTTGCTCTCCGTCTCAATAACCTAATGTCCTTTCTTTTGTTAAAGCAGGCAAAAATTCAAGATATCTTAACGATAGTGATAAACCACCCCTTCATGGATTTGCAGATTGCTGGCTTTTGGAGTCGTTAAAACAACTAATGCCACCGACATCTAAGTATGTGTACAATTCAAGCCCGCTGATGCTAATTTATGGGACCGCTTTAAAGCTCTAATCCATGTACGAATTTGTGTCCGAGGGATCCTTCCCTTATCGTAGGTCTATGCCAAACACCTTGTCCAGTCTGTACCTCCTTTAGTTTTGTGCTACTACCAAACCCCCCAAACCGCAATCACTCACGCTCATCATCCAAGCAAGTTTTTAAAGAGCTATCATTCCCGTAACACCCATAGTACGTACAGTAACCACAGTCAAATAATTTGCTACAATTGGGGTTTTCCCGTGGCCATATCGTAGTAATTTTTTATGACTTTTACCCAAAGAAG